ACGACGATTAGATATGCGGTTTGACTCAGAAACTCGGGAGCTAGAACTCCTGCAATATGCGAATGGTGATAATGGGTCTTTTTTCATGAGTAGAGTAAACTAAACGGACATAAAGCTGTTTTCCAGCTAGCCATAGTGCCAGTGAATTGTAATCCGAGTATTTATCAACCCTAGGCTATAGCTTCTATGGTTCTACTAAGATTTCTAACAGGTAATCTGAAGATTGGCTTCAACAATCTTCCACTCGAAATTAGGTTGTCATCTACATTACCGATTTTTAAAGGCAAATTACGTAAACATTTAAACCTGGAGGAAAAAATCCCTACTGTCTGTTTCCTTCCCAAATACGCAAATTTTAGACTTCAAAAAGGGTCCTCCTGGCATTTGAGGTTCTTCCCAGGATAGTTAAGTGGTCTCGAAATATGTTTATATTTTCCTCTGCAAAGTTAAGCATAATTTCAAAATGATGCAAAATCTCCGATTTGCAACCCTGACGGTGGTCTTTGTGGTCGCTATTTATGATAATCGCGGGCCCTTACGTCGTCGCCCACTTGTCGGTGGACTCTGGAGGCTCGCATCTCGATGATGCTGCCCTGACTTCTATGGTCCCCTCGTCGTTTCGACCCCGTTGTCCCCGATGAGCTCCTCTTGTATCATCCCCTTGATGCGATATGATTTTTTCCCACGACAAGGAGCGTTCCGAACCTTAATCATCACTATCCCATCTAATTGCATCATATCTTATAATAGCAATCTAACTACCTATTTAAGCTGTTTTTTCTCCTGTACTTTTTTCGGAAATCGGTGGCTCGCTGAACTGTGCCACAGATATAGGAGATTTTTTCACTGCCTAATATTTTTTACTACTATTTATAAGAGGGCCCGTTGTAACACCTTAGATACCCCTAGCCCCAAAATTCTGTCTGACGGGGTCAGTGGTATTAGTTTAGTTTACGTAACCTTAGTATATAGTAATTGCTTAGGTATATTTATCTAACTTTGGCAGTATGTAACTAAACTAAAACTAGTAAACTAAAAGTAACAATAGGACTAGGGGCTAGGAGTGTATAAGGTGGTAGACCAACTGTATTGTTACGAAAATTGTTTAGGAGAGTTGGACAGAATAACAGAAGATTGCCGAGGTAAGAACAATAGACATTTGCGACAAGTCAGTCGACCCAAGGCTATGAGTGTAACATACGGTAAAGAAAAGGAAGGAAAATACACACCATTCACTTTAAGAAGGGCGGTCTCAATAGTGCGGACGCAACTGCTGCAGGTCATCCCAACTACCCGGAGATAGCACCGCCTCACCTCCGACGTGGCAAACTGAACGGACACAGAAGGTGCAGTACGTAATAGATCGGGTATCTGATTGAGCGCGCCGACATCGGTCTTCAGGACGATTTCCTCACCAGATGGCAGAGTCACTGTGGGGACAGATAAGAGAAGAAAAAAGGGTGAGGTTGTCTCTAGCGGTCTTTTTTGGTCCTTATGTATTATAGCTACCT